GTGAGGTTTAGAGGGTTTGGAAGAGCATTGTGTGTAAGCAGGTGATGAGGGTGGAACTGACTGGCAGGTTTGAGCTTAGGGCCGAGAGGGGCTGTGGCAGGAAAGTTAGGTTACAGCCCCCCACCGCATTTTCTGCAGGGAGGAGGAGCCATGTTCGCTAGCAGGGAACTCTCTCAGCGCCTCTGCCCCACCTGCAGCCACACCTGTAATATGCTCTGGCTGCTTAGAGTATTTCCACCTAATTTCGCTGCTTACAATACTCTGCACCACACATGACCCTGTGTTACCTCTTTAACTCCAACACAGGCCATTCTGAACACTGGGAAGCAGGGTTTCCAAGCTGGGCGTGGTGGTGCACGCCTATAATCCCAGCACTCAGGAGGCTGAGGCAGGAGGACTGCCATGAGTTTGAGGCCAGCCTGGGCTACATAGTGAAATCCTGTGTCCCCAACAAAAAATTTAATTATTTTACGTTAAAAAGAATTTTTCTTTTGCTTTTTCTGTGGTTTTACCCAAAGTCTTGATTTATGTCTCTGATCCTGAAGGCTTTTCATCCAACCACCCCCATAGTGAGACTAGCAGCCAAAAGGCAAGATCGGCAGGTTAGGGCCCCAATACACTAACGAAATACATGCAGCAAAGTAGGGACCAGGACTGAGGTGAGCTAAGATCCGGCTTGAGAAATCAGCGCCAAGGACAAAGGACAAGGCCCCGAGCAAGCCGAGAAGAGACCTGAAGGCTGGAATTCAAGGACAGAGGTCTCCGCATTCTCACGCCCTCATCTTCTGAGCCACGGTAGCAGCAGAGCCTCTGCCTCATCCCTCTGGGCTCCTCCTGCCAGCAGCCGGAGCCTCCTCTTTGCTCCTTCTAGACCACCCCGGGGCCCCACTGTGGCCTGGCCCTGTGCCCTCTGACGCAGGGAGGGAGTGGGTTACAAGGCCATCGGCAGGGGACTTGGGGGCCAAGGTCGAGGCACAGGAGGTGCCAGGGAAAGCTTCACCCGAAGCCCTGGGGAGGACACACTGCCCCGAAGTGAGCTCCTGGCCACCCAGGCAATGTCGCACGTGGCCTGGTGCTGCAGCCCGGGCTGTGTGGGTCCCGCAAACGAAGCCAGTGGGCTCCTCACATCCCCTCCCCGGCGGGACACGCCGCCCTTCCTGTTCCTGCAGCCCCTGGCCTCCGCTGGCAGAACGCAGGGTCTCCCTCTGCCCTGTGTTTGTGTTTGTGACATCAGTCCTCCCTGTGGGGCCGCGGGCTCCTCGTGCCTGCCCGAATCGCATCGGGCTGTGCACTAGCTCTGGGCGTGAGGACAAACTGGATACCAAAATACGGAAGGGATGCGAGGGTGAACTCTGGTAGACGACAGCAGAGGCACGCAGCAGGGGGCCAGCAGGAAGGGCTCTTCTCCACCAGTGCGGCCCATTTGTGACGTTCAGGTGACAGATAGCTTTGTTCTTTGCTCTCTCCATGCAACTCCCTAGAGGACCCAAAGCTCTGACAGCCACCAGGCAGGGGGACGCGGCAGCCGTACTGAGGGGGACGGAGCACCGCGGCCCAGCATAGGCCACTTTGGTCTTTGCCAGAATTGGAGAGTTGCCTCCAATTTTGCTAGTAAATCTCCTCCTAGAAAGGGAGTTAGACACTGTGGTACAATTGATTGATTGATTGACTGACCGATGGACGAGAGTCTCATGATGTAGTCCAGGCTGGCCTTGAAATCACTGTCATTTAGGCTCACCTTGAACTTGCACCGATCCTCCTACCTCAGCCTCGGAATCCTGGGATTACAGGCGTGCGCCACCATGTCCCGCAAGACAGCCATAACTGTTGTCTTTTTTCTCAGCCCTTTTCCTCTCATCATCTAGATCTTGATTTTGTACATCGAATAGGCCATGTTCAGCAATAGGGTCATCAAGGCCTGGAGGCCTCACCTGGAAATCTACCAGGGTCCTCTGAACATAACTGCATCTCTCTGGGGTGCTAGGCAACAGGTGGGGGAACCCACATCCCTCTAAGAAAGAGGTGGGCATCTGAGGCCAGGATCTTCAATGAGATCAATTCCGTCCTCCTCAGAGACCTCTTTATGTACTGTGGTTCTTGGGCCTTTCCAGAGATAAAAGAGCCATAGAAGCCTGAACATAAGGGGTTTCACACCACTCTCCCTGCCCTTTGCAAAAAAATATCAACTGAAAAGTACGACCGAACTTAGATTGCCATTCTGTGTGTACCTTATGCCATTTGTTAGTTCACACTGGACAGAAACAGGATTGAGGCCAAACCTCTGATGAGGGACTGTGCTCAAAAAGCAGAGCTCTTGGCTTAACTCCTGTCTGGCACACACAAGGCCCTGAGTTTGATTCCTGGTACCAGAAAAAGAAAGAAAGAAAATAAAGAAAGAAGGAAAGAAAGAGTCGAACAGCCAAATATCTATGCAGACTCTTTGTGGTGCCACACACCCATGCAGCAATGTGCAGAGATTTGCTGATTAATAAGCAATCACGTATAAAACACAAGCAGGAACTTATTATTTCTTTGGTACCAGGGATTGAACTCGGGTCCTTGCAAGGGAGGAGGCAGAATCACTGAGCTAAATCCCCAGCCCCAAGCAAGAACTTCTACCCCTCCTCGGGGCAGCCCATGTTCCCAAGCAGGTCGCCGTCATTTGTTGCAAGGGACACCAAAGAGACACATGTCTGAAGTCTCTTTGGGAAATCAAAAGGCTGATACGGAGGCAGGAAGGGCAGTCTTTCGGCCCCTCAAGACTTCAGCCTTATTCCCTGTGCCTGCGGAACCATTCCAGCTGGTTCTTTCTTAATCAACACAGTGGAAAGCTATAAGAACCCTACACGGAAGATGGTCACTAGAACTTTCACTGGACTAGGAAGAAAGCCGTTCCTGAGAAGCTCCGCCAAGACCTCAGGGTCCTTCTCAGAGCGGGACTCCAGCACCACTCTGGTGCAGATAAGTAGAGTCACTTATCACCCTAACTCTGCACAGCTTACGCGGGCACCTGTGTCGAGACTGTTTTTAATCAGAGTCGTACTGTGGGTGACCTTGCTGAGGCTGACCTTCCTCGGGCTCTGGATGACTCACCCACCCTCCTTGTCGTCATATATTCTCCCTCACAGGAAGTGTGGAAATGTGATCTGCGCCTCCTCACCCCCACCCTAATAGCAGTTACCTTCTTTCTCCCTTAGACACAGCTCAACGGCCACGAACTCTTTCCAGAGGGTTTTCCTTCAGCCCAGCCAGGGAGCCACAACACTCCAAGGTAGACGGAAAACACATAACCTCCAGGGGGAAAGGCCCACAACCCCTTTCAACAGGAAGTAGCTACGGCAAGAGAGACCTCTGCTCCCTCAGCAGCTCGTGGAGAACTATGGGATTTGTGTCTCTCGGGGGAAATGAGGCAGGGGACTAGGGTGTGGCAGAGCTGGCCGGGGAAGTCGGTGTGACGCACGCGCAGAACAGTTCCCAAAGCCCTGGGTGGGGACTTCCCTGGAGAACTCAAGTGGGTTTGGGATGGGACAGCCCAGACCTGAGGCAGCCTGAGGAGTGGGAGTCGGAGGCCGGTGGCCCTGTGCTGCCCTCTCCTGTGCCCTCTTCCAGGGATTTGGTCAGGCGGCGGGGTGCACTTCCCTTCCACTTCCACTTAGCGCACACTCGCTCTGCAGAGCCTGCTGTACGTAAAGCCTCCTATGGTTTGCGCTTGTCTTGACCAATTCTTTGCTCAGGACAGAAAGAACCTGGAAACCTCTCCAGACACACACCTCAGAAGCCAGAACCTGCTAACAAGAGGACGTGCAGAGAGGGGCTGAGGACAGGGCCGGCCAGCGTGTGGTCTCTGGACACCATGTGGGCGAAGAGTGTCCCCTGCCCTGCCCCAGAGGTGTGTGGAAGCCCAACCTGTGAAGCACATGGGCTGAAGTGGGTCTCAGGGTGCACCGCAGGCTCGGATCCCACGGGCTTCAGCGGGCACAAGCCTGGGGTTCCGGGCCAGCACCAAAAGGGCACAACTACGGGAGGAAGAGAACAAGGAGCCTTCCCTGTCCCACACGAAGATGGGCACAGTGTCCATGGGCGGAGGGAGGATGGGCCTCACCAGGAATCCACCTGACGGCCCAGACCCTAGGCTTCAGACTCCAGAACATTGACAAGATAAACATCTGCTGTCACAGGCCGGGCGTGGTGGCGCACGCCTGTAATCCCAGCACTCAGGAGGCTGAGGCAGGAGGATCGCTGTAAGTTCGAGACCAGCCTGGGCTACATAGTAAATTCCAGGTCAGTCTCAAGTATGTAGTAAGACTCTGTCTCAAAAAAACAAACAAACAAACAAAACATACACATCTGCTGTCACAGCAATGACCCACTCACCCTCATCTTCAACAAGTTCACCTGCTTCCCTCTGAGCTACGGACAACAGGCCAGGCCCAAATATAGGGGCAACTATGCCTCGATTTAAATGGGCATCGATGCTATACCAGGCCCTGCTTTACAACTTATCCAAATGTTTGTTTTTGTTTTTTTGCTCCGGGGATCGAACTCGGGACCTTGCGCTTGAGAAGTAGGTGGCGGCACCACTGAGCTAAATCCCCAGGCCCTCAAAGGTTTTTGAAAGAAAAAAACCAAAAGCCAAAAACCAAACAAGCAGATTGCAGGTAACACAGTCTGCTGCAACTGTTTATTATATTTAGAAGTCTACAAATTTGAGCTTTTAAGAAAGAGTCATAAAATATTCATTTGAAATCACATTTTGTTGTTGTTGTTGTTTTTTGAGACAGGGTCTCACTATGTAGTTGAGACTGACCTGGAACTCACTATGTAGCCCAGGGTGGTCTCCAGCGATCCTCTTGCCTCAGCCTCCCGAGTGTGAAATCACATTTTTTTTGATTCATCAAATTTCAAATATATTTTACTGTGTTGAACAATGTATTCTAGTGCTGTCTAAAACACAGCCAATTATTTGTCTTTATTGATTTACACATTTCTGTAACTTTTTGAAAACCAAGATTAAGATAAAAAAGAATAAAACCACCCAATTAGAATTCCTATTTTCCCATACTCTGAATTATTTTCTAAAGCTGTTTCCTTTTGCCTTATTCAACCTCAGTTCTGTACAGGTACTAACTAACTTAACTCACTCAGGGAGTTCTCAGCTTGCATTTCTCACAGATTAAAGCAGCAACACCTTGGCAATATGGAAGGTTTGTCAAAAGCACTCACTAGAAAATATTTTTAAATTTATAGAGTGTACAAAATAATTTACAAAGAGACAGATGACTTTAAACATTATTTCGAAACCTCCTTGATCTGTGGAAATCTGTCAAAGCCGGTTTTGGTCTACTTTTTTTAATCCCTCAGCCCCCCTCTACGAGACGTGGGTGTTATAAGGATTCTCAGGCCGACATGGCATTTGCTGACCCGGGGGTCCCAGGCCGATGGTCCCTGGAGGCCTCTGCTCCCCACACAGGCTGCCACTCCGGGAGCGGGGAGCAGCGACTATGGGCACTGAAGACTCCAGGGATGGAGCAAGGGTGTCTGGGGCACAGCAAAAGGAAGTGATGTCAACTGGAAATAACAACAAAGCTTTCACTACATCTCGGAAGAAACACTAACGTGGAGAAGTGGGTATACCACATGGAGGCGGCCAAGTGCATGACGGTCTTGTCTTCCCGGCACTGTGCGTGGTCCCCAAGCCACGGGGAGAGGAGCTTCTCAGGAAGTGGACTAAGATCCGTAGCGATCCTGGAGAGAGAAGCAAGACCAGGTTCACCAGGACGCTAGGGTCAGCTCTGGCCTGGCACCCCCAAGGCTGTGTTCCCAAGCTGCCGCGGAGGGGCTGCTGCGGTCACTACAGCAGGCGTCACCGGCTCCCAAAGCCGAGCTCTGCAGGTCCACCGGGTTCACATCTGTGCCTCGGCCTCTGCGTCCCCACTTCCTCACTTGTCCCGTGGGGTATGAGAAGGGATCCACGGGAAGCGGGCCGAGAAGCAGGAGGAAGCAGGTAGAAATGGCCCAGCACATTCTTCTGGGCCGCACCCTGAGGCACTCACTGCACGAACCCAGGCGCTCACGGGTGAGTTCAGAGCCGAATGGGCAGTGAGGAGGAGGGGGTGGGTCACTGGGCCATCACCGGGGAGGGCGCACTGCGTCCCCAGCACGCCTCGCCCCTGGCCGCCATGAGGGAAGAAGCTTCCTCTGCCACCCCCTCCGCGCACGCATTCTCCTGGACACAGGCCTGAAGCAACGGAGCCGCTGAGCACGGACTGAACCCTCGGAAGCCAAGAGTCAGGACAACTCTCCCACGGAGAGGGGCTTATGCAGCGTCTGTCACCGCGCCTCCCACCAGGCCACAGAACCACCTGCGTGGGGATCAGAGCCTGCTTGAATCAGCCCAGCCCCCAGAGCTGTGTATTAGGCTAATGGGAGCCTTCTAAAATAACCAGGTGCTAATGAGAAGGTTCAAGAAACAAGCTTTTCCCATAACCCAAGGTGGGTGGCCTGTGTTTTAACAACAGTCGGCTTGTCAGGGCCTTGTTTACAAGGCTGAAGTATGATCTAATATCCAGTGTGGGAACAGTTAAGTAAATTAGATGCATTTTTCACTCAGCAGAATGTGGATTCTGGAGAATCAATTCATTTTTCTTTTTTTGGTACTGAGGATTAAACCCAAGGCCTTCACACTGAGCTACATCCCCCCATCTTTTTTCTAGTTTTTTATTTATTTAGGGTCTTGCTGTTGCTAAGTTGCTCAGGCTGGCCTTGAATTTGTGATCTTCCTGCCTCAGCCTCCCAGAGTGTTAGGATTACAGGCTTGTGCCACCCCACAGAGCTTCTTTTCTTTTCCCTTTCTTTTTTCTTTTTTTGAAACAGGTCCTTGCTGTATCATTCCGGCTGGCCTGGAACACATGATTCCCTTGCCTTAGCCTTCCAAGTTTGAGGAATTGGCAATTATATAAAAACGTACAGGATAGTAGGATACAAAACCATGAGACAATACAATCCCCGTAAATTTAAAAAATTATGCATAGAATCTAGAACTAAAAGAAAATGTTCCAAAATATTAACAGAAGTTAACCCTGAGCAAGGTGCCTGTAGATCATTCTAATTTTTCTTCTTACTCATTCTGTTCCAATCTAGGAAAAATTAGATAATTATCATGACAGTTCCTGTGATCATTCTCCTAGTCCAAAATGAGAAAACATTACACAAATATGAAATGGTAATTTCTGGCTCCCCTGGAGTATTGATTACACTGCGGGGAACACAGCAGCCAATTACACGCAATCTACTTGCCCAGCGGGTGGTTCACCGCACCACACCACACATGCTCGGTCGCAGCACTGACCTGGATGGAGGTCACGACCCCATTGGCGAACACCGAGAGCTTCCCAGCCACCGACCGCACGCCCTGCTTGAACTGTGCCATGTCCGGGGCGTTGGGCAGCACGCTGGACAGGGTGTAGTTGCCTGCGCACAGATCACAGCTGCTGTCCACCTGTCCACGTCCACAGCTGCCCCCTTCCTCCCGAGCAGCAGCTCCGACACAGGCAGCCCCACCCAACGCTGACAGCCACCAGGCAGCGGGGACGCGGCAGCCATACTAAGAGGGCGACGGAGCACCACGGCCACTGGTCCCGGCCCCAGGAGGTCACAGGTGCTGAAAAGGGGCTGCAGCTCCTGCACTGGCCAGGGAGGGAGCAGGCTCCCAGGCTCAGACAGCACCTTGTTCATCTCCTAGCTCTTCATTCACTCATTCAACAAACACTTGCTGAGGAAAAGGAAGCCCTTTCTAGGCTCCTGTGGGTATCAAGACAGAAGAGAAGGGACAGGTCCCACCCAGAAAGAACTCCTGGCCCAGTCAGGGGAGCTGGTCACACACCAGGCACAGAGTGCAGAGGGCCACACTAGTGAGGCCACACTGTCCAGTGAATGAGGCCCAGGAGACCCTGGAGGCTGCGGCTGGATAAGGCGCAGGTGGGAAGTGACAGAAATGGGGCAGGAAGGAGGGCCGGGGCGGTAGGGCACACAGGATGTGGCCACAGTACAGGCAGAGGGGGACAGGTGGCAGGGCCACAGCGGGTCTGCAGGACAGACACACACACACAAGGGCAGAAAATGGGCTTCTAAAGTGGTATCAGACAGGGCCGGAGATTTAGCTCAGTGGCTCCGCCTCTTGCCTTGCAAACGCAAGGACCCGAGTTCGCTCCCTGGTACCCTGCACCCCCCAAATAAAGTGGTATCAGACACCAGTGTCCCTGATGTGGAAACAGAGAAAGGGCTTCTGAGATGCTAAGAAGAGTGGCTTCCGGAGAACAGAATGCACTCTGGTGGCCACCGCTCTGAGGCAGCTGGTGGCCTGTGATGTGCTGACCTTAGCAGACTCACAGGATGAGTGTCCCAGCTAAGTGTGACAGACCCATGGCCATGATGCAGACCCAGCCCCGAGTGCAGAAAGGCGCCTCACCTGCTGGCTGTTTCCTCTGCTCCTCGAACAGGTCAGCCGAGCTGATGGCGGAGCTGGCTGAAAGCCTCTCCAGGCGGGCTCTGGTCTCGTACTGAGGAGACAAGGGCAGACCTTAGGGTCCTAACTCCACAGCACTTTGGCAGAATAAAGACTTTGTCCCCTAGGCTCTGTCTCGCTGGTCAGTGTCACTGCCAGGCTGGGCCCCGGGGACTGTGTAGAGCTTACGTTCCCAACAGGAGGCAGGTCACAGGCAGACAGGTCAGCAACTGATCACTGCCACTACGGTCACTGCGGGCCAGCCAGAGCGAGGGAGAGCGCGATCTCATGTGTTCGGCTCTAAACCAAGGTCCCTGGACCCTCACTCCCAGCGCCTGTCACACATCTGAAGCCAGCTGTGCCCCGTGTGCCTGCCCTACCACACTACAGACTCGCCGACCGGCTGTAGTGCTGGGGATTGAACCCAGGGCCTCTGAACTGAGCCACATCCCAACCCTTTACTTGTGACCTTCCTGCTGGGATTATAAGTATGCACCACCACACCTGGACCAGCTGTAAAACAAAGCAGATTTGAGGGGCAGGAGGAACAGCCAAGAGGCCACTGTGCTCTGAACTGACAGTGGTGCTGCAAACTAAAATCAGCACATTTAGGAAAAAATTCCCCATGGGGCCCAGTATCCTCAGACTAAAAGGGCCCTGCAGGAGCCAAGCACAGCTGACACGCCTGGCATAGTCTGAGGGCAGTGAATCCGGACACGACCACGCGGGTGTCCGAGCTGCCCAACAGCCACGTGATGAGCTTCTCAGCAATCTGAGAAAAGCAGCTGCAGCCCGAGCGGGACACAGCTACCCCCAGAAACCCCTGTGCTTTCTCATTTAACTGGCTAGAAATTATCCAGTAAGCCAGGGCTGCATCAAACAACACCAGAAATGTATTCAAACGCTCTTGCCAAAGGGCTACTGCAAAGCCCTAGAGGGAGAGAGGAAGGAGGCCTGACAGCACCTCCTCCCCTGGCCCGGAGCCCTTCCTGACCCAAGAGTCCCGGACTCTGGACCCTTACGTCGGCTTGGGCTTGCCTTCCAAAGTACATGTCTGAAGAAATGGCCTTGACATTGCCAAACTTCTTCTGGGCCTCATCCGTGCTTTCCAAGGGCGCGCAGTCTGGCTTGCGGCGAGCAGCGGGTCTGCAATGAAGGAGCCCAAGCAGGTCACGCTGACTGGCCAAGCCCCACCCATTTCTCATTCACCATGCATCCATCAGATGTCAAGAGTTTAAAGAGCCAGGAGCAGTAATTTTGTAAAAAGATTTGGGTCACTTGAAAAAGTCTGGCCAATCGAGGAAGCAGAGAATAAACGCCCAAGGCTCCCGACACTGCTGGCTGTCGTTTGACACCTGTGTGACTGCCCAGTGCAGAGCCAGGTGAGCATAAGCACCCTGCGTGTGGGTGGGGAGGCACCGCTCTGCATCATGCACCTGTCAGGGGCCCCGGCATCCCAGGGACAGGACAGGCTCTGGTCTCGAGGTCCAAGACCACAGCCTGTCCCCACACACACTTGCGTCCCTGGTTCAGACAGCACTAAGATCTCCCTGCACAATACTGAGACTGGCGAGTCCCCCAACAGCTGAGCGGACAAAGCAGCCCAGGGGAGTTGGACACAGGAAGGAGGCCCAGGCAGATGTGCTGAGAAGAGCCACCGAGACAGACTGGGACAGCCAGGGCTGCGACCATCGGCAGAGGACATACAGGGTGCGGTGGGGCGTGAAGGACGGTTTGTGGCCTGCTCTTGGTGGTCATTATGTGACTACACATGCAGTCAAAATCTGTAGAACCTTAAGTGGGGTGTGCTGGTGGTAACCTGTAATTCCAGCACTCTGGGAGGCTGAGGCAGGAGGAGCACAAGTTTGAGCCTAGCATGGGAAACTTAAGAAGCTTAGCAACACTGTCTCAAAATAAATAGATGAAAATGCATGTTCTGTGATAAAAAAATGAATAAATTAAAAAATTCTTGTTTGAAACAGGGTCTCACCATGCAGTTCTAGTTGGCTTTGAACTCACCATGCAGCCCAGGCTGGCTTCGAACTTGTGGCAATCCTCCTATCTCAATCTCTTGAGTACTGGGATTACAGGTGTGCACTACAATGCCCAGCTAAACATTTTATTATAGCAGAAGACACACAGCTATTAATTTCCTTCAAAATCCTTCCCAGAACCGTTTTAGGGAATGGCAAGAACTATAGGATAAGTGTGTTCAAAAGGAGGAGGGATGTTCTGGAGGGATTAATGACTGAGCCTCTCACTGCAGTCATTTTTAAGGTTTTGTGTTTTGGGATTTTTTTTTTTTTTTTTGAGACAGAGCTTCACTGTGTAACCCAGCTAGCCTTGAATTTGTGGTAATTCTCCCACCTCAGCCTCCTAAGTGCTGGGATTATAGGCATATACTACCACACCCTGCTACTGTAGTAATTTTTTAAAAAATTAAGCATTTACTGTAGCTTTCTATCATATCTCATAGCTTGGTGCAAAATCCCTGGGTTTATGCCCAGTACTGCCAAAAACAAAAATCCTTATAGAACCTGCACTTAAACAAGATGCGTGTGACCATACACGAACAGTAACTTCATGGGGGTGAAGTGACAGCCCTGGTCCAGGCCTCCCAAGCTGCGGGCTCAGAATGCTAGGGCAGAGGCTCCATGTGTTCTGTGGAGAGGACCCCAGGACACTGATGTGCCCCCAACGTGGTCACCGCCTGGTATGACAAGGGGACCCCAAGACAGTGGCCTCACAGCTCCCGGCCGGACACACAGGGCTTCCCCCACGCAGCTGCTGTACCTGTCGGAGGCACCTGTGCTCCTCCCAGCAGCCTCGGTGTCTCTGCTGCTTTCCTTTCTCCAGTAGGAATCGGAGCTGTCATCCCAGTCCGCAAAGGAACTGCCTCGCGGCTCCACAGCATCATCGAAGTACCTGTGGGGAGAGGAAGGGACAGTGGTAGGGTCCTCACGCTGCTGGCTCCTGCTGCGGCCCATGGCCTTTTGTTTGTACCGGGGATCGAACTCCAGTTCTTGTGCTTGCGAGGCAGGCGAGGGAACCGCTGAGCTAAATCCCCAGTCCTGCAATGGCCCTGCAGGAAGCCTGTGCCATCCATGCTGCCCCTCGGACTGCTCAGGACGAGCTCCATGTTGCAGCCGACTACCCCAAACTGAGGTGCTGGAGGAGGAACAGGACGGGACAGCTTTGGTGTGGTTCACATCACTCACAGATGTCTTCATCTGGGCCTGGGGACTGCTGCACCCAAGGAGCCCTGGTTGGCAGTGCCCTCCAGAAAGCACATTTGGTACCAACAAAGGAAGTGGTGCTCACGACCCTCCTGAGGATGGCACAGACCTCAGGCTCAGGCTGAGGAAAGGAAGGGTGAGGAGGAAAGCGTGGAGGAGTAAGACCCGCAGGAGGCACAGGGGATGCAGGCAGGCTCAGGGCTGTGTAAGGACGGACACACTGAGTATCGGACTCAGCGCAGATGAGCCTGAGGGATGCCAGGCCAGGACCCACAGAAGCCGAGGCCAGAGGTGGGGCTGCTGGAAACAGTGCAGAGGAAGGAGAATTTGTACTCAGACTCCTGCCTTCTCTGGCAGGAAGGGTGCTAAGGCTGCATTGTGTCACACTGGCCACTTCCGAAAGCTCAGGAGGGAAATGGGAGCTGGAAGTGTGTCCAGCTTCCAGCTAGAAACCAAGGAGGGTGCCTGTGCTGCACCCCAGCTCTGCTTATTCAGAACACGCCAGAACAAGAAGGGACAGGTGCTCCGGGGATGGCCCCAGAGCATGGGGTGCATGCTGGCCCAGGACAAGAACTAAGAGCACTTCCATAAGAAATTTCCAAGGCACAGAGGCTTTGCTTCTGGGGGCCTGGCGTGGTGCCGGAGGAAGACAGGGGCGAGGAACCTCTGTCCCTGCCCTTGTGGGGCTTGGGAACATCCTAGGGGCAGGACAGTGCACAGCTACCTGGAGGACAGGGACCAACCGGAGGAGGCTGGCTGCCCCTGGGGGGACCAGCCCTGGGCTGGCTGAGCTTCTCTGCAGATAGAGCGTAGCTGAGGAAATGACAGCCTTTGATTGCACAAGCCCAAGTGCCACTCCCTACAAGGGACTCTGTGCTGCCTGGGAAGGCCAGGGTCAGGGTCAGCAGGACAGAGCAGCTGCCGTCGTCCCGGCAGAAACCCACCACGCTCCCCGTGCCAACCTTTCCTGCCGCCCCAGTGCTTGGATTCTGGGTCCACGTCCTTTGTGCCCCTTCTTCCCCTCTCTTCACCCTCCCACTGTTCTCCCACACTGGAGACACCGGTCCCTAGGGGCACACTGTCTGGTTACCGATGTTGCTGACCCATCACAGGCCATGCTGACCTTCCCGGGTCAACACTCCGAACCCAGTCTATAGTTGTACCATTTATATCCCGGAAATAATGGAGCTCAGAAAAGAGAAAACCCAAGGATGGACTCAGTCTTCTTTTTCACAGAAGCAGCACTCTTTCGTAACTCATAATACACAAGTTCTCACGGCTAATGTGTAATTTGGTAGCAACGAAAACTCTTCACGGCACTAACATGCTAGTTTCAGAGAATCCTGTCTATTTTACCTCAGGTGCCAAAGGACCTAGTAGCACCCTGCTCGATTAACCGAAGCAAGGAGGCCTAGAGCAGCGTTTCTGTCCCCAGGCACCTGTGGGTCATGACAGCAAGGCCCAGGGTCTCTGGCGGAGGCCCTGCAGCCTGGTCAACAGCAGAGCGCGATTTGCTCCTGGTTTCCACATAAGGAAGTGCTTCACAGCACCTTCGAGGCCAACTACGTTGATTAAAGCTCTGAAGAGGCACTGCTGAAGGCCTAGAGGCTGAGGGCAGGCCTGGCAGAAGCCCGACCGTGACCTAGGCCCATGAGGACCTCGAAGTCCCTGCTGTTACCAGGTGACATCCTCACTGAGCTTGAAATTTCCTCTTCTCTTCCTACAGGACACCTGCAGGCAGGCGACAAGCAGTGAAATCACCAAGCAGATGAAGGCCCCAGGTGAGCGCTGACTGGGATGCTGTCATTTGAAATCCGCATCTGAGATGACTTGGCAATCATTTCCAAGTCAAATTACAATGTTAATTGAGCCTGTGTGAAATGCGCTTAAATGGTTTTAAAGGGCACGATGTGGAAATAACCCTGTAGGAAACCAGAAACTGGTGGGTGCACTACTCGGGCTATTCAAGACCGGCAAGGGGCTGGGGATTTGGCTCAGTGGTTCCACCGCCTGCCTTACAAGCACAAGGACCCGAGTTCGATCCCCGACACTGGCAAATATAACCCCCGAGAGTCCCCAAGCAGACTGCCGTGGAGCACCACGGAGCTGCTCTTTATCTTTGCCAGACACCAGGACTCAAAATAATTTGAGGCTGTGCTTACAGAAAACTGAGGACAGTAGTTTACATTCCTTCACCTTGATAGGAAAGATACATGATTCCAAATTAGACTCGAGGAAAGACACATTTGTACCTTCCCCCAGGATATACACATCTCTCATCGCATACCCTCCACCCCCGTATGGTTGCCAGGCAGCTCCAGTGCCCTCAGAGATATCCAGGAAGCAGTGATTGCTGACACACACATCCAGTGTCACCAACTCCTAATGGCGTCCTAACGGGTCCAGCAAGCAAGCACTTAGACTAAGCCACGTGTCTTTGGACCTAGTTTTGTATCATAAGAGCAGCTGCTCCTCCTAAGAGGCGGGGCTCTACTGCAGCAACTCACTCCGACCTCAAGGACCCCGGAGTGGGCGCTGCTAGGATCCCTAGGTTACAGCGAGGAAGCTGCAGCACAGAGAGCAGGAGTAACCTGGTCCACCACTGTGTGCACAACCAGGATTCAAACCTGGGCTGCTTGGCTCCGGCCCCTCTGCACTGCAGCTGTGCCCACCTCTAGGGAAATCTGGGCGCCTCGCTTCCTGCATGGGTCAACTCTTGGGGGAACACTGCAGATCGAGTCGATTCAAGACTGTACTTTCTCCTTCTCTGAAGGCTGCTGGGGCCCGAACATGCCCTTCCTCCCATCAGTCCGCTTGCTGAGGATGGGGTCCTGGCCTGGCCGTCTCCTTAGCACACAATAGCTTCTTTCCTACTGGCTCCCGCTCTTGGTGCTTCCAGAAGCTGGGGCAGAACCCTCGGCATGGCTGAGGCCTGGCCTGCTGGGAGCTGGGAGCAGCCTCTGCAGGGCTGAGGCTCAAGGGCTCCTCCCTGCCTGCTCTCCTGCCCTGCTGCAGACAGATGTCCCTTTCTGGCCTCATCCCGACCCTGAAGCACCGAACGTTCCCGTCTTTACCCCAAAGCACACCTTGCCGCCAGCCAGAGCCTTTAAAGACAACGAAGTACTGATTGCTATTCACTCCTAATGCAAACCTGCAAGTAAAGCTGTGCCCGCGGCTGCTTTCCAAACAACACGTTAATGCAGTTTTCACAGATTTACCTGGAGCTGGAGGTCAAATAGGAATCGTCATTGTCCTCCTGATAGTTTTTTCTCGGCTTGGCCAGGGTGGGAGACTCCTGCTCTATGGTCTGCATATCTGAAGTCACCGAATGGGAAATGCCGCTGGAGAAAACAGTAAGATAGGGAAACATTACACCCGCTACTGGTCACACTTCTGTCTCAGCAAAAAATGAACGCTTTACATATATTCGGAACGAAGACAAATTTATAAGTATGAATAAAAATATAAGCAACAAAACAATTATTTTTCAGTGTAAACTTGAAAAAAAAAGGAAATCTTTGCAAGGACTGTAACTGCGCACACCCAGCCACACACGTCGGTTATGCTTGTGGTGTCTGTGCCGGTGTGGCTTAGTGAGCACTTAGTCCTCCTTCCCTTCCCTAACAGCCACACGTGCAAGTTTTCCCGTGACACAGCAAAGCAAAACACTTGGGAAGGAAAGGAAGCCGGGCGTGGTGGCGCACACCTGAAAGCCCCACACTCGGGAGCTGAGGCAGGAGGATCGCCACGAGTTTAAGGCCGGCCTGGGCTACTCAGGAGACCCTAGCTCAGAAAAAAAAGGCACAGGGGAAGAATACCAAGAAAACGCCTCTAAAGGTGAAATGTCTCAGCCCAAGGAAGATCGACCCGCTTGTGACTGGAGAACTGGATTCAGTTCTGCAACCCGAGCAAGCAGTCTCACGTACCTCCTGCAGCTGCCCAGGCCCATGCCGAGGCGCTCCGTTTCGGCTTGCTTTTTGCCACCCACGTTCGGTTTTTCTTCCTTCTTCATCTGGATTTCAAGATCCTTATAGGCTAATCGTAAGGACGACACACTGACACAAAAACAGGCAATCCGTATCAGCTCCAACTCTAGGTTCTCACAGTAAGATAGAAGCAAAATGGAACCCGCAGCTCAGGCTCTTAGCGTCATGCTTCTGCCCATAAGTGATAATTATGAAGGGCAGCTGGCTTTTTCTTTTCACTCGAACAATGTGAATCGGTTTACGGCCCCTTTGTGGTTGTTGCTGTGCGAGTTTCACTCGTACGGGCCTGGTTGTGGGCAGTGACATAACTTAGGCCCCAGCGACTTCTCTACAGATCATACAAGGCACGATTTCCCCCGTGGAGTGATGCCCGATTATACTTTGCCATGATGTGCCAGAGTATAGCGTAAGTGTCACCAGTCTGCCGTAAGGTTACAATACATAGAAAGCTGACTTCTTAAGCGGATAAATTAAGAAGGGCTTTCTTGAGATAAGGTCTGCTATGTAGTTCAGGCTGGCCTCGAACTCATGTCAATCCTCCTGCCTCAGCCTCCTGAGTGCTGGAATTACATTCATGACCACCATGCCCAGCTGTCTAAGCATTCTTAAACAATTACAGAACTTCCTGCAGGGTTTGTTAGGTAAACAGGCTTCCAAGAACACTATTTTTTATTTTTGTTTTTTTTGAGACAGGGTCTCATTATGCAGTTCAGGCTGGCCTTGACCTCACCATGTAGCCCAGGCTGGCCTCAAACTCATGGCAATCTTCCTGCCTCAGCCTCCCAAGTGCTGGGATTACAGTTGGGCAGCACCACAGTTGGCACTGAAGAACATTTAAACTGTGACAGTCACCAGCCAGTGGTTTCTTAAATGAGGCCCATCATATACCATCTTTTTTTTTCTTTTGGTTTTGTGAGACAGGGTCTCACTATGTAGTTGAGACTGAACTGGAACTCACTATGTAGCCCAGGTTGGTCTTGAACTCACAGCGATCCTCCTGCCTCAGCCTCCCGAGTGCTGAGATTACAGGCGTGTGCCACCAGGCCCAGCTCACATACCATCTATTTATTAAATGCTTGTAACAAATAATGCACACAAAAAAATAGCAAAAAGCCAGGTGTGGTGGCACACGCCTGTAATCCCAGCATTCGGGAGGCTGAGGCAGGAGGATTGCTGTGAGTTCCAGACCAGCCTGGGCTACATAGTGAGTTCCAGTTCAGTCTCAAAAAACAAAAAAACAAAAAACAACAACAACAACAACAAAAATCCATTGGAATATAAATTTCTTTTTTTTTTTTAATATAAATTTCTATGTAGGAACAAGGATTTACAAAATTTCTTCTTCTTTTTTTTTTTTGACAACAGAATTTCTTACTGATGCAAAAATACTTAGGCTTTTGCTATCCTTCCACTAATGAGCCTGGATTTCTTTGGTCTGCTTTAATCTGGTCTTGTTTGCTTTAATAGTATCACTGCAAAACAGTCCTGAGCAAATGAATAAGATTCCTTTGTCTTACTTTTCTCTTGTTGCTGAGGCAAAACACCTGACACTCAAAGTTAAAGAGGGAAAGGTTTATTTAGCTCACAGCTTGTAGAGGTTTTAGTCCATAATCAGCCGGCTCCAAGGCAGGGTGGCAGAGGGGTAACAGTTCATGGTGGGTGAAAGACAACAAAAGCAACAAGAGACCTTAACAGCATCTTTCTGCCCCTTTTGTCTCAACCAGGCTACTTAGGGCAGGTGGCGCTCATACCCTTAATCCTAGAGCCCCTGATCCTATCAACTCCAGCATCACACACTCTGGATCCGGCTACCTCTGAAAAAGCCCCACTTATGACCGTGTGAGGCTTTGGGGGGGACATCCAGATCCAAGCCATAAAATTCTTCAGGCAGAACTTTTACGACAGATCTGCTGAAAACTGTGAGTAGACAGAAGCCACAGACTGCCGGAGAAGATGAAGGATGAGCAAAAAGGTTCTGTTACAGATGGACGCGGGTGCTTCCCTGACGACACGAGGGCCCTGTCACTGCTATGAGCACCCACCTTAGCACTCACTGGAGGGCCGCGCCGAAAGCACCCACAGAGCCACCAGGTCAGCTACAGTGCCTGGGCAGGCACAGGCTCCAGAACAGCCCGAGCCGTCACAGCAGCAGGGCGCAGGCAGCTCTCCGTTCCCTACTCCAACTAAGTGCACCCTGGGCCCGGCAGTGAGAGGGAGCAGGACCAGGCTGCCCCGACAGCTCCCTGAGCGGCACGGCTCTCTGAGGCTGTTAAGACTGACCTCGCGGACTAGTGTTCCTGTGTCTGAAGGACAACACGCACTGCCTCCCCTGGGCGTCACGGCGACGCTTCGGCGACGCTTTGCGACACTGAGGCGAGACAGGGCTGAGAGGCAGTGACAGAGACTCAGGCAGGGCTGCAGGTGAGCAAGGCCAACGAAGTGGCCAAGTCAGGCTCCCAAGCCAAATCCCTAAAACCCCTTCGTCTGCACTGTGCAGACCCTGGGGCTCGGCAGGCAGGATACAGCCTGCTTCCACCCGGCAAAGCTCACCTTCCTCCGCCTGGGGCAGAAAGCCAGCACCGCCTCGTCACGGCTCGGGAAGCACCGCAGCACGGGCCAGTGCTGCCCACGTGTGAACGACAGAGGGCCCGAGTTACCCTACAGGCCGAGCTGGGGGACCTCGAAAACAGGCCAGTCTCTCAGTGCGTGGCCTACGGCAATTCCGACCACACGCCGGATGCGCAGGAAGGTAAGGGGAAAACTCGCACAGGTCGGAAGCAGCCGCTGCTGCCCGCGTGCCTGCGCTGGCTGGACATCTCCCGCGGGGCACTGTGCTGGGTGCGGGGCCCTGGGACGGGCCCTCTCGGCTGGGACCTTCAGTCTCCCCACGCACGCGGCACGCGGTGGTATTTCCTCTCCGTGTGCAGCCTACTGTGGGGTCATAATGAACAGGCCGGACTGCTCCCCAGCTGACAGACAGACGTTCCTGTCCTCTGCTTTTTAGCTGCTGGGCTTAATTAACACCGCCACGAGTAAGGGTGTCCGTGTGCGGGAAAGTGCTGGGTCCCGTCACTCACCTGCGGACCAGGGCTCCCGCTGCTGTGCCTGGGAGCCTGCGCTGAGCTCCCACCTCCTTCCTCACAGGCGCCTGGGGGTCCCAAGCTCTCCTGAGGAGCCCCGTCCTCCCCCCTCACCGACACCCCTGGCCTGTGCTGCAACGCAGCGAGAGTTTTTACAAAGCTGAAGGGTGCAACGCCCCACACACCCACAGCTAAAGACAGGGGCGCCTGGAAAGCTGCCCTGGAGCTGTTTGAGTAGCAGTCCTGGTTCCTACTACGGACTGTCACGGAATTCAACTCACATGGACTCTTCCTTAGGCGCAGCCCTGGCCAGCAGGTCCTCCTGCCCCTTCATTCTATCCACTGCTTGGGCCTGCTTTTCGATATCGGTAAAGCTTGTATTCGCCAGTTTCTGGGCTCCCAAGCTTCCTTTTTTGGCCCCAAGCTGGAACATATAAAGATTATGTGTGAGCCCTGCTGTTCAAAAACTCTTCTGACTACGGCTGATGGACACGGAGGTGGGGATCTGTGCTGAGGGGACCTCAGTGTTCTCTTGCTCTGAGAGGCTGCACTGCTCCTCCCCGTCACAGATGAAGAAAGTGGAGCTCACAGGAGGCAGGGCCAACGCTCAAACCCCAGACCCTCCTCCAGAGATGGCGACAGTCTCCGCACAAGCACTTCGGCCTCCTGAGGACGTCCCGCGAAGAAACACAAGAGCCGGGGGCCCAGGGAGGCCTTGCTGATTTCTTTTTAGCGTTTATCATAGACAGAAACAATCTTGGAGGTTCATTCTCAAAAATACTTACTAAATATAAATTTCATCGTATTGAACCAAACATATGTTATTAAGGCTACATTTATTTTATTGTGTCTCAAAACAAAAAAGTAAATAAAACTAACAGGACAAATGGCTCTTTAGCTTTGAAGCCAAACTACTAGGTAGTTTATAAAAAATACTTACTCCTCTTTTAGCTTGATTTGGTTTCTTTTTTATGATAGAGGAAACCTCTGCCAAAAAATAAAAATTGAAAAATCAGACAAACAGCAATCATACATAATGTTTCCATTTTAGTGTGCCTTTCTAAAAAGTCTACAGGCCACATATTACTAAGGACCGCAGCGTTTCCCACAGTAGTTTGTCACACAGAAGGCTCAAGTGTACGTGTGCGTTCTGTCCGTGTGGACCACAGAGGTCCCACACAGTGCCAGGCTGTGATGACATGTTCTGCCCACCACACCCAACAGAAACGAAGCACCTGGCCGCATCCCTCAGGAGTGTCTTCAGGAGGGACTTTATACATGTACGATCAAATGCTCTTATCAAAGTCCACTCTTACAAACTTCTAAAGTTATAATTATTATTATTGTGTGTGTGTGTGTGTGATGCTGGGGATTGAACCTAGGGCCTTGTGCATGCTAGGCAAGTGCTCTAAAACTGAGGTACATCCCTAGCCCCTTAAAAATTCCTTTATATTATAAAGTTAGCACAGCAATATGTGTGCAACAAAAGCTGTCAGTAAAGCACTTTTGCATCTCTACTTATATAGTTTATCATATTAGCCTTTTCTTTTGTTTTGTTTTCTACTGGGGATCGAACCTGGGCCCTTGAGCTTCAAAGGCAGGTGGCAGAACCACTTAGCTAAATCCCCAGCCCTCGTATTAGCTTCTAAGAAGTAGAGACTACACTGCAGTTTAGTCGCCATACTTTCACTGCTTCTCAGCCTTCTGGCTAAGATCAAGTATGGCAGTGGTGCTTCCTAATCTCACAAAAATATACGATGATTTTAGAGAAAGATTCTTACAGATTCACAAGCTGAGTAAATTTCAATCAAAGGTTATATATTCTAGTTTTAGAATTATGTTTAAAAGACCCAGTAAGAACAGAATCTTATTGTTTTTCTTCCAAAGATGGTGACGGGCAGGCCAGGCAGTGGCTCAGAGGCTTAGCACTGAGCCAGTGAAGGGGAGGCCGGGGTTTGGTCCCCAGCACTACAAAAAAAACAGCACACACTGGGCTCTGATGGGAAAACAGAGCATAAACCCGCAGATACCATGAGGACACTCGAGCCCTAAAAGAGATCCATAGCACATTTCCACATGAGGAAGCCGCCCACGGATGGAGCTGTGTGTCCCTTCCATCGCTTGCTTTCAGATTTGTACTGTGCCTGTCACATGACTGCTCCCAGGATGGCAAGGACAAGATTTCTAGACAGGATGGCTTTCTCCAAAGCAGCTTCTTTCCAGTGAACACAATATAATATGCACCAATTTCAAATGAGAATTCCCTGACAGTGAAAAAGTGTGCTTATGCTCCCCCATGATAAAAAGGGGGAGAAGGAGTGTTCTCCCCAGTGGACAGGAGTGCACGGGCACTGTGGGCACCGCGGACCTTGGGCACCGAACAGCCCCAGGGCTGCCCAGCCCCACACAGGCACCCATGGCAACGTCAGCGTTCTGGACTCTTCAGGCTTGCTGAGAGGGACAGCAGCTTTCAGACTTGGGCACAATGCTGTGCTACCTTCTACACTGAGACATGGGAGCGCATCTACCCTGAAATACTGGCTCCCTGTGAGTCAGAGGTGGGGTTTGCAGCGTGTTACCTGAAGCAGGCTTTGCCGGGGCACCGAGTCCTTCCACACTCGGTCCTTGATTGGGGCCACCTGAAATTGAAAACATGGACTTTAATGCAGAAAATGCACTCACCAAACTTGCTTCTGAATGTGTAATAATGCAACATGGTCAGGCCAACATATCTTCATGGATTTTCAATGACTGCCTCTCATTTTAGTATTTTTTTCCCAGCCCTGTTTTTGTTTGTTTGTTTTTGTTTTTTGTTTTTTGAGACAGGGCCTCACTATGTAGTTGAGACTGACTTGGAACTCATTATGTAGCCCATGCTGGTCTCAAAGTCACAGTGGTCCTCCTGCCTCAGCCTCCCAAGTGCTGGGATTACAGGTGTGAGCCACCATGCCCGGCCCCAGCTCTGTTTTTTAATCCACGGCCTTCCCAGTGAGCTACATTTTCAGCCTTGTTTTATTTTCAAATTTTGAGACAGTCTCACTAATTGGTAAAATTGCTATGGCTGCACTCAAATTTGCCATCCTTCTGCCTCAGCCTCCCAGAGTGCTGAGATTACAGGTGTGCACTACCAGGCCAGGCTCATTATCATTTTCCCCCCAGTACTGGGGATCAGACTCAGGACCTTGCGCTTGCGAGGCAGGCATGGCGCCACTGAGCTAAATCCTGGCCCCCTCATTATCACAGTTTTTTTTGTGTGGTACCAGAGATGGAACTCGGACCTTGCGCTTTCGAGGCAGGTGGCAGAACCACTGAGCCAAATCCCCATTATCATATTTTGAAGGGTGTTTATTTTCAGTTGACACACAATGACTGTATAAGTTTATGGGGTGCAGTGTGACTCTGTGACATACATGTGTCATGTGTAGCTCACATGACCGCCACTCCAAGCGTCACTTCTCTGTACTGGGCACACTTCTCTCCTAGCTATCCCGAAATATACAATTCATTGCTGTCAGCCACATTTCTCCTACTCTACTGCTGAGCACTGGTTTGGTTCTGCTGAAAGTCTATCAAAACGCAAGTACATTTTCTCCTGCCTCAGCCTCTCTGGGATTAGAGGTGTGTGGCACCACATGTGGCTCTGGCTGACATCTTGATTTTCCTATTTCCCAGCACACCCAGTCCTCGGAGCAGGGCCCTCTGACAGTTCTAAAGACCCCACCTTCGTGACCACCAGGATCAGCTCCCAGGACCCGAGGTGTTGGCAGTGATGGCTCCGGGTGTGCTGATGTCCACGCTGAGCCGCTCCCCTGCACCAAGGGGAGGAAAGTCACTGGCACACAGAGCAGAGCAGTCACAAAAATCAACCAGCAACACATCATCATGTGTCCTGCTCCGTGGAAATGATAAGATTCAAATGCAGCTTTTTTTTTTTGTACCAGGGATCAAACTCAGGACCGTGCACTCGCGAGGCAGGCTGTGGCACCACTGAACTAAATCCCTGGCCCCAAATGCAGGTATTCTTAAATTTCTGTTTCAGTACTCAAATGCCTGATGCTCTGCGCTTCTGTTAAAATATTATCTTTAAATACTTTTGGACTTGCACAGAGCTGTGAATATACTGTGGGGAGCTTCCGGGGCACACCTGGCTTCCTCTGCTGCTGAACCTGGGGCACAGCTGTCACTGTCACCGGGAAGACTGCAACACAGAAGACTGTCAGCTCGGAGGGCCCCACCGGCTCTCCCACCAGCCTCTCCCCTTCCAGGACCCCGTACTGCATGGGTGGCCAGGGCTCTTTGGTTCCTCAGGATTGTGACAGATGCTCAACTGTCCCTTGCCTGGGCACTGAGCCCATGCTTTGTAGGTGACCCCTTGGGGCCCTCTCCCCTACTATATCGGGGGGCTACTGGCCTGGGTGACCCTGCCCTCTGCCTTCTCCACGCTCCTGTCTTGGGAGGGGACCCCATGCCTAGTCCATACCGAGGGGAAGGAAGCCTGGGCCTGGTCTGGATTTTCCCCCAGGGGAGATCTGCCATTCCCCACAAGTTTGTCTACTCCAGCGGCAGCAAACCTAATGCAGTGGGCTGTGTGTGAGTCCCTGAAAGCAAGGTTCGCCATAGCTGATCTACTCCGTCACTCACTTATATCGTACGGATTCACGAATGTTTGTTTTCCTGTCAGGATTATAATTCAGCAGTGTCATTGTTCATACTGTTGTTCCACTTGCTGCAGGCTGGACCTGTGGAGGCTCTTCCAGGTTGGCCAAGAATGCTCCAACCATCCGGGTCACCGCAGTGCCTTCTTCCCCACCATGAACCCTCCCAGCTGCTGCAGTACCAACCTGCCTGCCCGCCTGGTGGCCTCAGCCGCAACTTTTCCAGTGAATGCAGAGCAGTGGTTAGAAACCAAGATCTGGAACCTTCTGAGCTCTGTCCTCCCAAGGGACAGAGCCAGGTGACATACGTGTGTGCTCCCCATGTTTAAATACGTATTTGTAGTTTTCCATCCATCCGAGCGTACATACATGTACACATACACATGAAAAACATGATTCCTGCTAATAACTCTCCAACACTGTTTGTTGGATTTCTTGTCTTTTCAGCCCATCATTTCCATTCATGACGTTTCTCAGCTACTAATCGTGGATATGCTAAATCTAGTCCTATGGCAAACAAGAGCAGCATATCACAGAAGACCGCCTGGCTTCTGTTTCCTGTTCTCTCCCTTGATAACTACTTCTGGAGGCTCTTCAGTGATGAAGTGGTGAAATGCACATGAAAATTACAACAGCTAAAAAACCTGCCCCAAACAAAATCTACAGGCTGGTGACTGCTATGGCCTGGACCTTCCAAGTCCCCCTAAGGCCTCTGTGTCAGGCGGAGGCCCGGGCCCTGACTGAGGCATGGCAGGAGGTGGTGGCACATCCCTGAGGTCACTGAGGGCCTGCCCTTGCTGGGAACCACGGGGCTAACGTCCGTCCCTCTCCTCTCACATCACAATGAGGGGTGCATTCCTGCTCTGCTTTGCACCCCCACCCTGAGGAGCTGGCTCACCAGAGGCCTCAACTCTATGGGGCCAATTAACCACGGATCGAAGTTCTGAGACCTCTTTTCTTCCTAAGTGGATTAGGTCAGGCATTTGTCACAGTGGCGGCAAGTAAGCAGCACGGCAACATACGCGGCTTCACACAGCTCTAACGTGAACATGGTGAGACAGGTGAGCACCGCCTAAGCAAACAGCGGCCCCTCGGGGGCCGGGAGGAGGCCGGAGTCACAGGCAGAGCAGCTCCCGAGCTGGCAGGAACTGATGCAGGCTCTGCAGCCCTCCTACCCTTAGCAAGGGAAAGTGCGGCAATCCACGGAGGTATCAGGCCTGTCGTCTCTGCTGCCGTCAGGCCAGAACAGCAGGGAATATGATCCTCAGAGCATTGGCTAAAAGCACTGAGTACATTTGCCTGTATGGGCCCCCGACTTCTCACACAGCCTGGAGATACATACTATGCACACAGTAGAATCAGGGCACTGAGATCCTAACCCCTACTGAAACTGTCAGACACAAAGCTCTGAGTCCCCCGTGGCATCGCCAGGAAACGTCCCAGTTTCACAGGAGCTAGGAACTGATGGGTGATCACAGTCTAGTCAGAGGTCACCGGCAGAAGCAGTGTGTGCTGTCTCTAGACTGCTTCTGCAAAAGGGGAGGCAGGGTTTGTCTTCCCAGATGCTCATCCTCTTCTGTGCCCTGGGAAGGTCTTAGACCGGAGCAGCAACATTAGACCCTGACACGGAAGTCACATGTAGGGAGCAGCAGAGCAAACTCGTGGGTGTTATGGTTTACGCCTGCATGTGCCCCCAAAACCTCATGTGCTCCTCGGAGGTACTTTTGGGAGGTGACTGGGTCAAGGGTGCATGACAGTCATCACTGCATTATTCTCCTGAAGAGCGGACAGAGGGCTGTGATGCTGGGAGGTGAGGCCTGGTGAGAAGAGGCAGGCCGCTGGGTGTGTGGCTATAGCTAAGGTGCCAGGCACCCCGGGCAGCCACCTGCGAATGGACAGTGATAAGTTAATTCCTATCGTTTTTTTGAGACAGGGTCTCACTATGTAGTTGAGACCGACCTGGAACTCACTATGTAGCCCAGGCTGGCCTGGAACTCACAGCGATCCTCCTGCCTCAGCCTCCAATGAGTGCTGGGATTACAGGTATGCACCACCACACCCCTCTAATTCCTATCTTTTTTACTTAATTACTTAATTAATTTTTTTGGTACTGGGGATTGAACTCGGGCCCTTGCGCTCACGAGGCAGGTGGTAGAACCACTGAGCCAAATTCTCAGCACTTAGTTAATTCCTATCTTTTGAAAATTGCTTATTCCTGCAGCTTAGCCTGTACCCTGAAACATGTTAAATATACACCTTACATAACTTTTAGAAGAGCACACTTTAAAATGCAGTAAAGCATCATACATACCTCAGCAGAGACATGAGAGGCAAAAAAGTCTTCCTCCCTCGGTGGAGGGGATGAAGGCGGAAGCACACAGCTGTCAAGCCACAGCTGGAACAGAAACAAAGCCGTGCTCAGCACTGTACAGGCCTACAGGGGTTCTCGGGCCCTGGAGGCCTCATTCCTGCCGACTGGGGCTTTTGTGACTACAGCCTCAGGGCTCTGTGGTGCAGGAACCCATTGCCCCAGTACATTTTGCTTCCAAACCTTTAGGGAGTCAAGTAACCACCTCCAGAAATACTTTCTATTTAAAAAATGTTGTTTTGGTTTTTTGAGACAGGGTCTCACTATGTAGCTCAGGCCGGCCTGGAAGTCACTATGTAGCCCAGGGTGGCATGAGACTCATAGTGATCCTCCTGCTTCAGCCTCCCGAGTGCTGCGATTACACACATGTCACCATGCCTGGCTTAAATTTTTACTAATGCATATTTGCAGTACATAATGGTGATGTCATCACGGGGAGCCAGTACAGTACATAACACAACACATGTTGATTCATTTTTTAGCCCTCTTCTTTTCCCTTCCTCCTCCCTCCCCAGAAACCTTTTCTGAAAAGGAAAATTCAAGAGCTGCATATATAAGTGCAGTTCCAACCCCATACCCAGCCCTAGTTGTTCATGGATCCCACACCTATGCATTCACCTGTGTGCTGAATTTACTCGCAGCCCCATCTGTCCCCCTGGTGTTTTCACTCTGGTTCCCAGACATGCACAGACCTATAAAGCGAGCTGTGCACCAAGCGTCCACCCGGGCGAGGTGGAGCACACTGCTCTCTGGTGCACGTTCTCACACACGTTAACAAGCATCCTCTTTTCAGACTACTGGTGCCACATTTTCCACATTCCTGCCCTTGGCAGATAATTTCGCTGTGTAAAATGCCCCCCACTTCCTCACCCCAGAGGTCACGCTGTGATTTACTGTACAGACACGGGTGTTACTGAGGCCACACTGAGGCAGGCGCTCCATGTTCACGAGTCACTGCTACTATGTTATACAGGATCCATCCATTCATTCACTCGCTCACTCACACATTCTTCTCCAGTGCTGGATCAAATGCGGGTCCTGGTACATAGGCAAGCACTCTAGCACAAGGTACAGCTGCACCCCTTAAATAAGGTATCTTGTTTTGGCGGGGGTTACCAGGGATTGTACTGAGGACCTTCCGCTTTCGAGGCAGGCAGTGGCACCACCGAGCTAAATCCCTGACCCTGTCAATAAGGTATCGTTACACAGATACATCCATGAACTAAGGTTGTGAATTAGTCCCTTGAGGAAAATGTGACCACAGCTAAAAGACCCCACCCCAGTGGTCCCCGAGGATCAATGCTTCAGGGTTCAGGGAGAGGCCACCATCTCCATAGCTTCTGGACCTTTCAGCTAAGATCAAGTGCAGAAACCAACTCGAGAACTGAGTGTCAGATTCCTCCTTATGAGAGCCCAGTGGGAAGCTCAGGATAAAAGCACCGTGGTTTGTACTGAATGGATGTGCACCCGAGGTGACAGGACCCTGGGGGACTCACGTCAGTGCCATGTTTCCGTGTGGCCTGGGATGCCAGCGACTTGACCTTTTCCCTGTAGAGCTGGGCGGCGCGACTGTTGTACTTGGCGTTGGTGTCGCTGGTGGCACAGCCGTGCTGGTGGAAAAAGGACGACTGCGGAGGAGAGCATGCAGGTCAGTAGGGTACCGAGTGGTGCTGACACCCTGACCCCAGATGAACTGCCCCGCGAGGGAATTCCCCACACAAATACAAGAGCACATTCTGAGGGGCAGGGACGCAGCCCAGTGGTGCTGCGTCTGCCTGGCAAAGCACAAGGTCCTGAGTTCAATCCCCAGTACAAAAAAAAAAAAAAAAAAAAAAAAAAAAAAAAAAAGAGCGCATTTTGGTAAGACTAGATAAGAGATTCAAATTATGAAACAGAAATGCAGTACCTGGCCCTCACTTCTGATTTAAGCCACTCAGGACTGTTTTGAATTCATGAGCAGTCATTTTCCATTTGTATTTCAGTAAATCAGAATTTTCGACAGTTCAGTTAGGAGCTATGCTGTTACCTTGTTGAACACTTTCTCCACCAACACAGATAGAAACAACCTTACATAGTTAGATGACGGAGCAAATTGCAAACAATTAGAAGAAACTGCCTTCAACCGCTTACCCATCCACAAACTGACATGAATTCTAGGGCTTGCACAAGTGGTCTCTGGTGAACCTAAACTGATCAGTTATGGTATCGATCACCCACAAGTGTCAGAGCCTGGCCAGCGCTCCTCGTGGGCTGCACAACCTGGCGTGACTGGTGTCTCATTGAACAACCGGGAAACCGACACACAGAGATCGGACCCTTGGCCAATGTCACCCAGACGGTAAGGAGCAGCGCTCGCCCAAGGCCGGAAGTAGTTGCTCCCCTGCTCACTGCCCCAGGGGCCCGGCTCCAGGACAGCTGGCGAGATCAGACTCAGCACCCAGCCTGCAAGAATCCGGGTCACAGCAAGGGTTTCTAATACATGCTCAGTGCATCTAACGCTAAGGGCACACAGTCTTAGGAGGAGAGTAAATGCTTTCTTAGAAAATGAAAGGAAAAAAGAAAGCTTTCTTTATTGCAGTGGTTCACAGCTCTCCAAAACTGACCTTACAGAACTGCATACCTCAGTACTCAATTTCTCTCATTAGGAAATATTAAACCCATCTGAAGTTTAAAGAAAGGAAAGAAATGCTGACCTAAGGGAATCTGGTAATTCCAAAAGTACCACTTTAGACTTACCATTAGAATTCTAACTAACTGATGCTAGACACTATTTTGGTTTTTTTGTTTTTTGTTTTAAACCAGAAAATAAACACCAACTTTATTAATACAATAGCAAGAGAAAGGGTTTCCAATGTCTCAGAAGAAAAATAACTGAAATCCGCACCACACGGTGTTACAGGATCGAATGCTTGTGTCACCTTTGCTGTTCTGATAGCTCCCTGCCACACCCCAAAGGGCCATCAAGGACAACTGTCATCGGAGCTGCTCAGGGACATGCTGGGCACCAGGGGGACAGCTTCGGTCTGCCGGCCCCCGTCACATGACTGAAAGGGACTCCTGCTAAGAAGCTCTTGGAGTAGAGAACACATCAATGTGGAGAACAGAGCCTTGCTTCTCCAGAGTTAAGAAAAAACATGAACGAACTCATCTATCGGTTTTTCCCGGGTAGCCAGGGTGCTCTGGGAAGAATCCTCTTCCAAGCCCACCCAGCCCACACTGGGGAGAGGGGAGGGAAGGGGGAGTCTGCAGACACTGGCAGGCAGGAATGGGGAGGCGCTGGCCCAGCTCTCTCTGCGGAGGTTGTGGGTGTCTTTTCTGGCAGCTGCAGCGGCTTGATGGGGGAGGCAGGGGCCACCTGCCAATCACCTCTTCTTGAAGCCATACTTTTTGCGTTCATAGAAGAGGTCTGTCTTAGAGCTCCCCAAGTTGACAATCTTTGGGCAACCATCTCTATTCTTCTCCTGGATGGCGCACTACTTGCAGTAATAGGCATCAGAGACTCCTGGGCCTCCACAGATCACACAGCGCCCCTGGTAAGAGCCGTAATTACACTCGTCACATATTCGCACCAGGGTGCAGGGACGCACATAGGAGTCACAGATTACACATTTGCCATCACAGGTTTCACAAAGTCTTCCGATGGCAACACCAGCCTGCTTGCGGCAAAAGAGCAAATCCGGATGATGTTTAGCCCTAGCTCCTACCCAAGAGGGCTACCCGCTAGACATTATTTTGACTTGAAAGGTATACAAATAGGGGACTTTACACTTTAACAGCATGTCCATGGGAATTCCATTTGCTCAAGATCTGCTATCTTCATAAGGTTTTGCTGACCAAGTTTGAGAGAATCAGATATACTGAATTTATAAATAAAGCCTACATGCGTTTTTGGGTTTTGGTTTTTTTTTGGTACAGGGTGAGGGGGATCAAATTCACAACCTTGCACTTGAAAGGCAGGCAGGGGTGTCATTGAGCTAAATTCCCAGACCTAAAGTTTGCATGTTTGTGGATGGTTTAGTATGTTTGTACATGAAGTTAAGCAAATCTCTTCTAAATTGTAAATTTATCCCACTTTTTTTTTTTTTTTTGGAGACAGGGTCTTGCTAGATAGATAGTCCAGGCTGGCTTTGAATTTGCTGTGATCCTCCTGCCTCAGCCTCCAGAGGGCAACTACCACACCTGGCTCACCCAATTTTTTTTTTTTTTTTTGGTAACGATGATGGAACTTGGGACCTTATGCTTGCAAGGCAGGCAGTGGAACCACTGAGCCAAATCTCCAGCCATCACCCAACATTTTAAAAAGTCACCTGTGTATTAAAAATCACTTAGTTGCTAGGGAGTTAGCTTAGCAGTTCCACCGCTTGGCAAGTGTAAGGTTCCAAGTTCGATCCCTGGTACCGAAAAAAAAAAATCACTTGAGTTTATAATATGTGACACTTGTCTGCTGCATTTGAAGAATAGGTTTTTTTAATTAGCAGATTTAATAAATTTAATACATTTTAATTTGCAGATTTAATAAATATTAATTCAAATATATATGATACCTTGTACCTAAGCATAAAAGGCACATTTAATAGAAAAAAAATCTATGGTCACAAAGATACTTCTGCTTTCTCTCTCAGCCATGTCAAGCCTGCAGCCTGCCCTTTTCTTTTCCTTTTTACTTCTTTTTTTGATGAAAAATTATCTTGGGCTTTATATAAAATATATAACATAAAAAGAAGGCAAAAAGCATGATCTACAGGTTGAACATGGGTGCCACGTCCTGTTTTCCTTTTTTTTTGATGGTACTGGGGATCGAACCCAGGGCCTTTGCATCCCCAGTGCTTGAATTTTCTTAAGCATCTATCATGCGATTTTCTGGCCGCTGGAGAGGTCTCATTTGTAAACCAGCCCCAGGGGGCTCCAGAGGCCCGGGGTGCGGGCAGCTCTCCTGAGAGGAACCCAGTGCTGAGCGGAAGGCGCGGAGTCCGGGACGCACTTACAGCGTTGGCATTTCCTCCCACTTGCATGCATCGAAGCTGGAACCACGACCAGTTGGAGTCCAGCTCTGTAGATCTGGAAGGAAAGAATGTTCCTATTAATACCTTTCTTCTCCAGAACCGAACTACTGAGCTTCAAAAAGCAGGTTTCCTTGGACTTTAGGATCCCAGGGAGCTGTGGCTTCTGGGATGCTTGGGTGGGCGACAGTTGGCCCCTCTTGTCCCACCCGGCAGCCGAGGCCCGATGGCCCATGGCCTGCTCTCCTGTGCCCAGCTGGAGAGCAGGCGAGCCAGGCCCGCAGCACCGGGGTACACTCGCTCCCGTCGCCATCCCCTCTAGGTCTGTGGGGCATCCCAGTTCTGCCTCTCTTCCTGGTGGGCTCTGAGCCAGAACTGGGTGACGTGACCGCGCTCACAACGGAGGTTCTGTCTGGATTTTCCTCAGGCCAGGCAAGTGTTCCCACAGTGTGAGTCCACGAGGGGCCTGCAGATGTTGTGCTGCTGTCAAGGGATGGGAGGGTTCCACCCACACCACCCCCAGCAGGGAGGACAGGACAGACAGGACAGCGATGCAAGCCCAGGCCTCTCTCCGGAGTCTCAGGAAGAAGCAAAGAGCAAGGCTGTCCCTTCAAACACAGCAGCCAGCCCCTCGTCAGCTGAAGGAGGCGGACACTCAATGACCATGGGCAGGACTCACTTTACAAAACGTAAAGGCGAGGAGAAGAGGCTTCAGGCTCACAAAGATTTTCCTTTCAAGCTGCCCTTCCACTGACTCATTTCTATGCCTCTTGGTATCATTCAGCCTTTGTAAATGTTTTTTTTTTAAATTTTTTTCCTTTTGTTTTTGTTGTTTTTTGAGACAGGTTCTCACTATTTAGTTCAGGCTGGCCTCAAACTCACAGATTCTCCTGCCTCAGCTTCCCCAAGTGCTTGGATTATAGGTGTGCACCACCATGCCTGAAGTCTTTGTAAATGTTAAACAACTATTTTGAAAGTAAAACTAACTTTGGATTAATGCTAATACAATGACAAATCCACCCCATAGTGATGTGTACAAAGTAGAGATTTAACCACATTCTATGAGAAATAGATTTCCTGAAGACAAAGATGAAACAAACAAACAAAAAAGAAAACCGAACAAGGCCCTCTCTGGTCAGAATTTCTGACCAGCACAATGAGGATATGATGGCACAGGGGAAGCAGCTGGCTGTAATGAGACCCTCTCTCTGCCAGCCTCACCAGGTACCACTGCCTCAGAGCCCCTGGTCATGAGCCATCCCAGCCAGTTCTGTCCCAGGGTAGGGGCTGCAGTAGGCAGCAGTCTCTGGGGGACAGGCTGAGAGCATGAAGTCCCAACTCTGCCATTTACCAGCTTTATGATCTTAGAGAAGCGACTTCACACCTGGTGCCTTACTTCCCTCCTCTGCGGAAGTCCAGGCCTGACAGTGTTACTATTTATTTCACTCTTGCAGAAAGTGGATGAGCTTAACATATGAAGAGCTCGGGGAGCTTCGCCCAGCTCGTGGTAGATCTCAAATGGCTAGAAGTTGCACTGACACTCACTACGGTGGGACCCTACACACTGCCCCGACGTCCCCTCGCCCTCCTAGCACAGCGCCTGGCACACGGGGGGTTCCTGAATGGGGCTCTGCGCCCTAACACGGGGGCCTAGGCACTAAGACAGCCCATCTTCCTTCCCAGTTTTCATTCAAACCTTTACAAAAAGAAAGCCAGAGAGTTCTCTGTACATTTTGTAGAAATGAAGGTATAAACTAAACAGGGATTTGTTTCCAAACAGAGCTCCAGGAATTCTCTCAGATCACTGGACTTGTGCCTGCAAGGGAGATGTGGCCCGCAGGTGAATTCCATCTTCAGTTCAGGGTTTCATTTCTGCAGCACTGGGAAATGAACCCAGAGCCCTGCACGTGCCAGGCAAGCATTCTACTGCTGAGCTACATACCCAGCTCTATCTTTGACTCAGATTAAGGGATACATGAAAGCTGAGAGGGCTGAGAAAAAGTAAAGCAAAGAAGGTAAGAAAAGCTAAGGAACAAGTTAGTGTCCCTTTAACAAAGTAACTCCCTTAACCAAGGGAGAAGGCAGGTTTCCCAAAATTTCTGTAAATCTGAGTGTCAAGCATAACCTCCTTCAAAACTGCATGAATCAGGGTCAGGGATTTAGCTCAGTGGTGCTGCCACCTGCCTTGCAAACCCAAGGATCTGATTTCAAACCTCAGTACCAAAAACAAAACAAAACAAAAAACACCCAAAATTGAACGAATCAGCTTTGCCAAAGTCAGCATGTGTTTTGTAGTTAGAGGCTTTAAATAGATTTCAGATACTTATGAAACCAGAGCAAATCTCACTAAGTCAACAAAACAAAGTTTTCATGAAATTAAAATTTAAAATGGAATAAATCCCAAAGCCAGGCGTGGTGGCGCACTCCTGTAATCCCAGCACTCAAGAGGCTGAGGCAGGAGGATCACTGTGAGTTTGAGACCAGCCTGGACAGTGAGTTCCAGGGTAGTCTGAACTACATAGGGAGACCCTGTCTAAAAAAAAAAAAAAAAAAAAAATCGGCACTAAAATGGAATAAATCCCATCACAGTTAATCCTCCCCTAGACGAGCTCAGGGCAGCTCTGGGCAGCTGTTTATTTCTAACTTGTGGACTGCGTCATACAAGGTCACAAAACAGGGCCCTGCAATGCCAGTACCTCAAAGGCACTCCTGTCTCCTCTCCTCTGTCCTTGGTGGGTTGTGTCCCCTGAGCAGGCACCAGATGACCCCAGCTGGTCACAGTAGGGCTTACGGAATTTCACTCCAGGAACAAACAGAAAGGTACAGCCCAGAGCCTTCAGGGATGGACCTGACAGTGGTGCTGGCAGCCTCTCTGCCCTGTACTTCCCAGGCTAGGTCACCTGTCCCATGGGTCACCTGGAGGGAAGTGAGAGCTCGCGCCTGGCAGATAATACAACACCCAACGCCATACAAACCTTCCCCGTGGAAACTGATCTCTTCTCATTTTCATCGGTGTACAAAAATCAGCTAAGAAGGCGGGGGATTTAGCTCAGTGGCACTGTGCCCGCCTCTCAAGTGCAAGGTCCTGAGTCCTGAGTTTGATCCCAGGTATCAAAAAAAAAATGATCAGCTAGGAAACTGGGCTCTACATCAGGGCTTCTTTCACACAGAGAGAAGGGTTAAACATTTATCACTAGTGCCGTGATGGTGCTTGCCCCTGAGGTCAGCATTTGGGAGACTGAGGGAGGAGAATCCCTGTGAGTTTGAGGCCATTCTGGGCTGCGTGCTTAGATGAAGGCCAACTTTAATTATATAGTGAGACCCTGTCTCAAAAACCCAAGAAAGGGCTGGGCGTGGTGGCACACGCCTGTAATCCCAGCACTCAGGAGGCTGAGGCAGGAGGATCATTGTGAGCTCCAGACCAACCTGGGCTACACAGTGAGTTCCAGGTCAGTCTCAACTACATAGTGAGACCCTGTCTCAAAACAAAACAAAACAAACAAACAAACAAACAAACAAAAAACCCAAGGAAGGAAGGGAGAAAGGGAGAAAGAAAAGAATCAGCTACAAAGCATTTCACTTTTCCTGACTCTGCGTCTCTTCTCAAAGTCTCAGTGCAGGCCTCCCTTTTCCCTACAATCAGATCTTACCCACCTTCAAAGTTCGCTGCAAATGTCACCTCCACTTTTAAACTCTGCCTGATTTCCTGATTTTCTGATGGGGGAAGGGATAGGCACAGACCTTAGCTTCCCTCTCTCATGCAGAACTTTACCTTCTGCCCCCTCTGTCTGTCATATTTGAGCTTGTTCCTAGCCCCAGCCCCACAAGATCCTAAACTCCAGAAATACTGAAGAGGAACTTGAGCAGAAACAGCTAGAGGTCGGGGTGAGGCGTGACTGGCAACATCCTAGCAGCATGAAGAAGAGCTGGGCCCTAGAGCTGCAGCCAGGCCCCTTTCTAAACCAGTTCTAAGAGCAGTTGGCTCCCAGAGCAGCCTGCATTTCCACACACTCCTAACCTGCCTGCCCCTCCTTCACTGCCATGGTTTGGAGTCATTTTTCCTTTGTGAAACTGTTGCCTTGAAATTCTACTTAAGAAAAAATAAACTCCACTTACATAAACATCCAATCTATACTTGCTGTTATCAGTAGCCCTGCTGGGAAGGGAGACCACATTTGCAGAGGGCAGGCACGGAGAGGAGGGTAAGGGCAGTCCTAGAGGAGGGACTTTATCTTACTTTATATGCTTTTTCCCATTGAGCTAGAGTTTGTAACATTTCCTAATAACTTTAAGGAGGAGCCCTTCTCCACTAAGAACAAAACCCATACTGAGTCCTGTTTTTCTTAGCCAGAGACTGTGTATTGCAGGCAGGCCTTGAACTTCCTATGCTGCACAGGCTGGTCTCGAACTGCCAATGCTCCTGCCTCAGCCTCCCAAGTGCTGGGATCACAGGTGTGCGCCCTGTACTCAGCCCTGAGTACCTTTGCAACCTTTCCTTTCTCTTGTCCACATCTACACTGCTGCCCTCTAGTTGTACAGACACTTTTAATTGCTGTTTGAATCATTTATAAGCACTGTGAGTCACACAGTTACATTTACTTGACTTTTAAATCTAGTGGTTAAACCTGCCCGGCCCACACTGATCCTGCTGCTCAGCCTTCGCAGGCTCTGGGCCAGTCCTCCCCTCAATAAGGAACAGGCAGAGAAACACCCCATTTCCTGCAAGGAAGAGGGGAGCAAGAGGGTGGGCCAGGTTTTACTGAGAGGGACTTGGCCCAGAGAAAGAGAAAGAGCACACGTGATACAGGCGGAAATGAGCACCAGGTGCGTGGCTCAAGCCGGCTTCTAACGCTCTGGGGAAGCCACCATATGCTATTTACTGATCAACACAGGCACAAAGGACATTAAAAGTAACAACCCAGGCCAGCGTGTAGCTCAGTGCTAGCTGTACATGAGCAAGGCCCTGGGTTCCATCCCCAGCACCAAAAATGAATAAATAAAACTGACTAAACAGGAAAGAATCACGTCTCAACACATAGCACAGGGAAAATTAGATACCCACATACCAAAAAATGAAGTTGTACTCTTAAATTGCACACCACAAAAAATATTAACTGAAAATGGATCAAAGACATGGACTGCTGGCCTAAAACTATAAAAGTCTGAGAAGAAAATAAGGAAAAAGCTTCATGACATTGGACACGGCAATGGTTTCTTGAATACCACACCAAAAGAACAGGCAACAAAAGAAAAACTGAGAAAAGAGACTTCATGAAAAAATTTAAATTTGCACAGTGGTGGGCATGGTGGTACATGCCTGTAATTCCCAGCCCTCGGGAGGCTGAGGCAGGAGGATTGCTATAAGTTCAAGGCCGCCTAGGGTACATAGTGGGTTCAAGGCCAGCCTGGACTATAGAGATCCTGTCTCGAAAAAAATAAATTTGTGCATTAAAAGACTTATCAACAGAGTAAAAAGGGAACCCACAAAATGCAGAAAAATATTGCAAATCATATATCTGATGAGGATTAAGTATCCAGAAAATGCATAGAATTTCCAAAATTTAACAAGAAAAACTAAAAAACTAGATTAAAAAATAGCCAAAGAGCTGGGTGTGGTGGTGCACACCTGTAATCCCAGCACTTGGGAGGCTGAGGCAGGAGGATCGCTGTGTTCGAGATCAGCCTG